TAGGCACCTGTCTATGGCTCGAGAAACAAACTTGCTAAGTTCGACCACTCGCCTTGTCAAGCTCTGAACCTGCCTTATGCTCGTCAGGCTTTTCACGTCCAAGAGAGCTTGAATCTTTTCTGGGTTGGCTTTGATACCCCACTGATTGACTAGAAAACCCGAAAAATTTTCCAAGCTTACTCTAAAAGCACACTTTAGAGGATTAAGTCTCATTCTATATTTTTTGAGGATGTCAAACATTTCCCCCAGGTGCTCAATATCGCTTTTGACGAACTTTGATTTGATGAGTATGTCGTCGATATACACCTCTATCGTTTTGCCAATTTGCTCAGCGAACATCTTGTTCACCAAACGTTGATAGGTCATCTTAGCATTCTTCAAGCCAAACGGCATAACCTTGTAACAGTAAATCCCCCGATCAGTAATAAATTAGGTGTGTTTTTTATCGGGCTAATACATCGAGATTTGGTTGTATCCCGAGTATGCATCCATGAAGTTGAGTAGTGCGTTCCTTGCTGTCGCATCTACTAATTGGTCGATTCGAGACAATAGAAAGTTTTCTTTAGGACAAGCTTTATTCAAATCTGTGAAGTCAACGCAAGTTCGTCACTTGCCATTCGACTTTTTTTACCAAGACTGGGTTGGAGAGCTAGTCCGAGTATTTCAATTCCATGATGAAGTTGATGTTTAAGAGTTTGTCAATTTCATTTTTGAGTGCTTTGGAGTACTCTGCATCCATAGATATTCTCTTTTGTCTGATTGGTCGAGCTACTAGGTCGACGTTCAACCTATAGCATATTACCTCGAGGTTGATCACCACTGTATATGCGTGTACCCATGCGAACACGTCGAGGTTTTTCTTTAGGAACCCCACCAGACTATCAACCAATCTTTGCTCAAACTGCTGCCAATATTTAATATGTGAGTTGAATCTTCCTCGTTGACAAATACTTCTCGCAGCTCTTTTGTTAGCCCTGTTGTAGGCTCTTCTTTATGGATGCGAGTTTTTATGGTGTCCTCTAAAGGTCCAGGGTTTGGCTCGGACTCGACTATGACCATGGTTCTCGAGAGTGACCATTTTAGTGTAGCATTAATAGTCTGGTTGTAATATTCTCGAGATTCTTTTCTGCAGCTTTTGATTATCATGACCCCACCTAGAGTCGGGAACCTCATTGCTTGGTAGCGTATTGAAGTGACTGCACTCAGATCATCCAAGATTGATCTTCCAAGGATGACATTATAAATGGTCGGGCAGTCCACTAGTAAGAATTCTGCCATCACCATCCTGATCTTGGGTTCTGCACCCAAGGTCACGGGTAGGTCAATTGTTCCCTTGGGGACCAGGCTATTCCCGGTGAACCCATAAAGCAGCGATGGACATGCCCTTAGATCTCGCCTGTGAACCTCATTTCTTAGAAGACTCTCAAGAAAATGATGTTTGCTGCACTAACATTATCAACCATCACCTATAGTACTCTAGCGTTGCCGATCCTTGCAGCGATTACAATCGTATCATGATTATGGCAAGGAGATTCTTCACATTCCTCTAATGTGAATCCTACCACCTTACTCTCTTACTTGGGCTGCTTTGGCAGCTTTTGTTCACAACTTATTACTCGCGAAAACGAGTTTGTTCTAGCCTCTCAAGCATATTGTTTGCAGGAACGCCTTGAGCTCCCTGCAATGTCGAGATCATGCCTACAAGAACTTCAGTGTTGGCGTTGGTAGGGGCTTGCTGGATCTTGTTATTCCACTCGCCACTATTTTCGCAAGCTGGTGCCTCCTTAACAAACTCTTTTAAGTAGCCCATTCAGATTAGATCCTCAATGGCATTCTTTAAAGCCCGACACCATTGGTGTTGTGCCCAATGTGTCGGTGGTATCGACAATACTTCTGCCAATCTCTTTTGCTCAGAGCCCCTCTCATTCTTTCTGGAGTCTTTTAGCCTTACAAGAGACTTCATATATATGAGTTATATCTTGAGTGAGGGGGACGTATTCTGCATACCACAGGAAAGGTTACCTTTCCTCATGATTTTTCATCTTCTGCCTCTTTTGGAACCTGTTGCAGTCCTAGTCATTGTAGTCTTGGCTCGTTCGTTTATCTGATGGGCGATCTTGTTGCCTATCTAAGGCTCTTCGTGGCGAGCTTCTAGCTAGGGCAGCTAGCGAGTTTTCCACTCACTTATGCTTGGCAGCCACTCACTTATGCTTGGCAGCCATCTGATAGAATTTTTCTAAGCTCACATGGTCTTCACTTTGGAGCTCTTTCCACAGCTTTGTTTGCAGCTTAATGTCTGCAATTAGCAAAGTTCGAATTGACTCTTTAGAAGCATCCACGACCTTTGCCTGCTCGTTCTGGAACCTCGTTAAATACAAGGTCAGTGTTTTGTCTCTCTCCTGATGAATGTTGCTCAAGTAGCTGAGCGGTATTACGAACTATCTCCTCGGTTGGAATTGCTATAAGTACAGCGAGGAGAATTGTTGCCAAGAACTAATGGAGTTCGCCTTAAGTCTTTTGTACCACCTCTTGGCATCCCCTACCAATGTGACTGTGAAGCAGTGACACTTTGCCAAGTCATAAACTGGTACAACTCCATTAGGTCGTTGAAAGTCTCGAGGTGGTCTCTGGGATCTCTTTTCCCATTGAACTTACTTTTTGGCCGCGCCCTGAATCCTTGGGGAAGCGAGGCCTGGCAAACTTCCTCTGTGAAGGGAGATCTCACTATCTCTTCCGCCGCATTGTTTTGGCGAGCTCTTAAATTGTCGAGCATTTTCTGTACCCGATCTAAGTCTTCGTTGTGAGGATTGTCCTAGCTGACTCTATTCAGCCTTACCTCGAGCAAGTGAGTTTGAAAATCTATTACTTATGAGCCCCCTCAATTATGCACATTGATGCACGAGGTTGAGTCATGATGGTTAGGCTGGTAGGTGCTATCATACTCGTTAGTGTGTTGCTCGCAACGTTGGTTATAACAGAAACGTCAGTCATTGCCAGATTGGCGCACATGACTCGCCTCGCAAGTTTACGAGGTCTGAGCTTTCCTTGGGCATGGGTTAAAACGGCACACTGACGTTGGGGATACTGCCAGGCAAGTCGAGTGTCCCGTGGGCAACCATTACCTTCATTTTTCCCCATTGGTTGTTTTCCTAGTCGCCTCCCGAGGTTAGTTTGTTTGCAAGACTCACGCTCGTGAGCGAAATGTACTCCGTGACGTCAGGGGATGTCGGTTGCCCCTTGGTGTCGATGAACCAAATTGGTTGTCGGTTGAATTTTGACTTGTTGGGGTGATATCTGTGAAGCTTGGCTGGTTAAGGTCTTGGGCGTTTGGTTGCTGATTTCTTAACTTTGTCACATTCTATTGCATCGGTTGTGCAACCATTGTTCTAATCATCTCCACTAGTTGGTTGTCCTTAGGATTTGACGTCCCTACCCCTTGGTTATTCGCAGCTTGTTGCCCTAGCAACACTGGTGGTCAACGCCCAACGGCATCTTGTTACGCCTCACGGTGGGTGGCTTCCACATTGTCATGGTTTTCGGTGGTGGTTTTCGATCTTGTACGCACCATTGTGGGCCTTAAGTGATCGAGTCCCTAGAGTTTGTTTGCCGGAAATTCTGAAATTTGGCAAAAACCCTCATTCTAATGCCAAAATGTTGATGCAAAAATACAACTAGAGCGATCTGATTGACCTTAACGGGATCGAAACTTATGTATGCGTGATTATCGGTAACCAGCAATGTTTAAACGAAAAAATGCAGTGAAGTAAATGGCACGATGAGTTTTTAAAGTGGTTCGGTGAGTTACACTCTTGAGCCTACGTCCACTGTTTTTATATTTGTTGTGAGAGTTTACAATGATACTCTTAGAACAATTTGGTATCCCCTTTCTCATAGTTGGAAGGGGTTTATATGCAAATTATGTACAAAGAAAAGAACGAAAATAAAGGGATTACAACCAAGATTGAAATGCAACTCTGATATTCTTGCAATTAAGCTTTAAGATTCCGCAAAGATTGATGTCGATTTGATTCCTCTCGAGATATCCAGGATCTAGAGTTATTTGCGAATTGGTTGAACAACTGTAAGGATTGGTCACGACTAGCTTGTGCTAGGTCGAGCTACAACTCGACGAGCTTATGCTGAGTCGAACAACCAATTGAATCGAATAGATTCTGGATCGAGATATAACCTCATAATTCTCCGAGCTTGACAGAAAAATCACACACAACAAAAAAGAATAATATTATATATATTAAGATATATTTCATCATTTTTATATTAAGTATAATTTTACCATATTATTTATTAAATTATCCCTTCAATTACATTTTTGTAGAACATAAAATAATCTATCACTTAAAAGATAGAATTATGAAATATCTCTTTGAAGGTGCAATATTATTCAATGAACAGCACTATATTTACAATTTTTTTATACAATCTTAATGTAATAGCTCACAGTTAACTCGCAATAATCTATTTGTTAAAATACAAACTGACCAATTGTAAATTGTCATCTCAGGATTATATAAAAAATTGTACAAAAAAATTGTAAGTGTAAATTTATTGTTATTCAATTAAATGGTCAAAGTCAAATCTTTTTGAGATCATCAATTTGAGATATTACGTGTTATAAATAAATATTTCACAGATAAAAAAATAAATAAACAAATTTGGATCAGTTGGTAAGAACTAAAGAAAAGTGTTTAGCCTAATAGTAGTTCACTTGATCAAAATGGTCCCAGCCAACCACCAGTCTTTGATGAAAGGTTTCGGTTGACCACCTTAAACGCTACGCAACATTCATTCAACTCAGCCATCATCGTCTAACTTCATCTTCTTCATCATCCTTCAACACACACGCATCCTTCAATAAAAATTTCATCACATTTAACAACCAAATCCTAAAAATTATTCATGCCAAAAACGAAATCTAAAACACAAAAGATTCCATATTTTGATTTCCTTGTGGCAATTACAGTTTTACAAAGATATACATATCAAAGAAAACACAGAATTCACAAATACAAACCCACTAATACAAAAGATACAAATCGAATCGATCTTTATTAACTAAGCACAAGCACAAGGATTATCAACATCTACAGCAACATCCTCACTGCCACTCCTAAAAACCAAGTATCCAACCGTAAGCCCCACCACGATGGCCAAGAACACACCTCCATTAAACGACATGACCGCCAGCATCAAAAGATACCCCAACCCGGAGTTCACCCCAAACAGCACCGTCCCGGCAATCCTCCCCGCTGATAACTTTCCGGCGACCTTCTTCTGGAGCAGCGGCACCTCAACATCAGCGCGTTTCTTGGCCCCGATCTGGGTGACGCGCACCCGTGTATCCTCCAAGTACTGGTAAAAAGCGGAGACGACAAAGCAGGCGAAAAGGGTCAAACCGTAACTGAGCCAAGAATTGGTCCGCCATGAGTCGAATAGGATGGTGACGGTGCGCCCCCAGTAGAAGGTCATGTGCATCATCTTCGCTTAGTTTTAGAGAGAGAGAGAGGGAGAGAGAGTTTCAGGACAAGCAGCTGAAACCGATGAAATTAAGATGCTTATTTTAGAAGCAGTACTATTCGTTGCTTCTGTTTTGTGTAGTACAGTGTACAACTTTTACGAAATATATATGTTTTTTTTTTCCGCGGGGGTGTGGTAATGCCCTCTCCAAGTTGTCTTAATTACCGTTTTGGGATCCGGGTTTTCTAACAGTTGGATTTAAAATTAGATTTATGATATAATAACAAAATCTTTGAGATTTTAAAAAATCTCTTATTATTAATAAACCGTCTAATATTTTTGGACAATCGTCCATATTTTCTGGACGGCCATTCATTCAAGAATGGACGAGGGTTCAAAAAAAATATTTAAGAATAAATTAAAAATCAATGGACTCTCGTCCAAATACTAAGGACGGGCGTCCCTTTAATATGGACAACCATCTAAATTATATAGACGATCGTTCAAATAAGCACACTAGATGGATGCTAGTCTATCTACTGCAGCCGTCCGCATGAGATGGATTGGCGTACATACTTTGTCAATTTTATTTTTTTTAAACATAATTTTAAAATAAAAATACACACAATATGGACGCCAGTCCATCTAGTGTTGTGCGGACGGTCGTCTGCATGAGATGGATTGGCGTCCATACTTTGTTAAAAAAAAAAAAAAAAAATTATAAAAATCAATAGCTTGTCTAATACGCTTTACAAATAAGTGCAAAAATTTTATGTGAAATAAGGGGGAAAAAAAAAACTTCCATTTTTATTTTTTTTTCTTCTCTTCTCGTTCGTTTGCGTGTCGTGTTCTGCTTACTCTTCGACACCAGTTTCTTCCTCAACAGCCAAGCAACAGCAACTGTTTATGGTTTTTTCACAAGAAAGTCACCTCTTTTTATAGAGATAATCGTTTAGCGTAGAAAGGGAAATAAGGATGTCAAACATTTTAAAGCTCATAAATATTTGTTAAGGTAAAGAATTTTTTACTTATTTCATATATTTATTTAGTTTCATATTCTATTTTAAATTGAATATATGTTACAATACAAAACAATTGATAGATAATATTTGTTGGCGACTGTTATGAACTAGATTCGTGAACGCAAAAACTAGTATTAGTTGTGCATGAAATTACGGAATATGGAAGAGTCCAGTTTGCCTCGTTTCAATGATCTTGATGTAAACTGTATTCGAAACTTTAACTTTGTCGTTAACATGATTTTAAATATGTTGTATTGTATTGTTTCTTATGATTAATACATTCTAATTTTGTTTATCATAAAATCAGGAAAATGAATGTGATGAATTAGAAGATACAGGATGTGCAGAGGAAGAAGTGGAGCCTCATATTGGAATGGTGTTTGATTCAGTTGATGGTTTGGTGAAGTATTACAGAAGGTATGGGGATAAAATGGGTTTTGAAGCAATGATACATACGTCAAAGAAAAGAGATGATGGGGAGATGAGATACATGACAGTGGCATGTTCTTATTCTAGGAAGGAGAGAAGTAAATCCAGAAATACCTTGAAAAAGCAACCTGTTGCAAAAACAGATTGTAAGACTCAGATTAGTGCAGTTTTGAATGGTGAATGCAAATGGGAAATTAAATCAGTTGTGCTTGAACATAACCATGATCTTACAAGTCCAACGAAAAGAAGATATTTCAAGGTAAACTGAATGATACAACCTTTTGTGAAAAAGAGGCTTAAAGTTAATAATTAGGCTAGGATTAGACCATGTAAAAATTTTCAATCATGTTTAGTTGAGGCAGGAGGTGTAGAGAATTTGACATTTCTACAAAAAGATTGTAAGAACTACATTGAAAAAGTTAGAAGGCTATGACTTGGAGTTGGAGATGCTTTGGTAGTACTCGGGTATTTTATTAAAATGCAAAAGGAGAATTCAAATTTCTGGTACATGATTGATGTAGATGAAGAGATTCGATTAAAGAATGTGCTATGGGTTGATGCTGGATGTAGAGCCGCATATAAAGAATTCAGTGACGTTATGACCTTCGACACAACGTATCTGATGAACAAGTATGATATGCCATTTGCTACTTTTGTGGGGGTTGATCATCTGGACATTCGACATTGTTAGGTTGTGGGTTAATTTCCCATGAGAACACTGAGACATTTCTATAGCTATTTCGTTCTTGGCTTGAATGCATAGATTTTGCTTCTAATGGAATTATCACTAATCAAGATAAGGCCATGCAAAATGCAATTGAGATTGTTTTCCCCGGTACAAGACATAGGTGGTGTTTGTGGCCTATAATGAAGAAACTACCTGAGAAGTTAAGTGGGTATAAGGAATATGAAACTATAAAATTTACATTACAAAATATTGTGTATGATTCGTTGACACATGAAGAGCGAAAGATGGAATGCATGCAGAATAATGCATGTGATACTATAACATGTATATTCATATTTTGCAAAAAAATAAAAATAAATAAATAAATAAATCAAATTGAAAACAAGTAAGGTATAACTTGTTACCTTAAGTCCTTAGCAATCTTGGAGACTTTTAATTTCAAGAGAAATTAAACAAAAGAATATCCACACTAAGGTAAAAGAAGAATTAGGTCAAGAGAGACATTTAGGGTTCTTAGAAATTTTTTATCTCTATCTCAAAATTGATATATCATTTTCTTTATCTATGTAGCCTTTTAAACAATTCAATAATTGTTTTGGACTTCCTTAAACAATTCCATAATTGTTTTAGAGTTGTAAATAATTCCATAATTATTATAAAGTTGTTAAACTGCTTTAAATAATAACACTGGATTAACATTTAATCACAATTAACAATTTAACTCTTAAATTGTTTACATAACAATTTAACCTTTAAATTGTTCATATGTTTACAACTACAACCCATTGTTAAATTCAATTTAATATAAAGAAAATGATTAATTATGAATTGGAATTCCATTTAATTCCAATTAGCAATTTAACTCTTAAATTATTCATAATAACTAATATAACCCTCCATTGAATCTAATTCAATGATAATAATATAAATAACTTTATTACCCTTGGTGGGTGCTAGCCAACCTTGGATAATCAACTCTCTTTGGCTATTTCTCTATTCTCCTTACTTTTTATGTGTGACCTCTTAAGTTCACTGTGGCCTAGCCATGGGCCCAATATCATAGTCTATTCCGATATGTTTTGTCATAACTCTTTATGAACAAAACTCTCACCGATTATGGTAGGCATCTAGCAATGCTCCATAACCTCTAAGTCACAATGAAGATATACTCCAACGAACCCTTTTATAATCATACGCACTGTATAATCAAATCCTTCCATTGTCTAATCTCAATCAAGAATGGATTCATGGTATGTCAAAATCATTATTTTAATTTTATATCAAATTGACAATCAATACATATGAAACGTGTCACCATGAAACAACCTTTCAGGTAACATTTTATATGCCCCGGCCAGAGATTTCCCTTTTCCAATGTATCTTGACATTTTTCTAGGAACTCTATATCAATCTATACCAAGTCAGCGGATCCCATCTTGACTATCACTTGACCTTACACATAAACAACACATGGCCAAATCGGCTTATTAACACATGTCATGATTAGCCTCGTGTTTATACACCATATGAACTATATGCGTTTATGCAAAATTCAACCATGATATCTCATGTCTAAGGATCAATAATACACTAGTACGATCTTATGATGAATCATTGACTACATTTTAAATGTCCATGTGATTCATCATAAATGGTCATATTCGATGAACAGTTCACTAACCGCTTATCCATGCTAATGCCATAGTGATATAACTTTTATAATCACCCACACTAATACCATCACATGATATTCTATGGAGGCATTCAACATGACAAATATATAATATTATTGCAAAATTAATATTACCTATGTAGGGAATACTTTGATGATTTTGATCTTCTAAAGATTTGTATCATCCGAACATTTCACATATAATACATATATATAAATGAAGTAATAAACCACATGTGAAATAAGAACACTTTCTTCTATTGATAAGATAAAAATGTATGTTCAAAATATATATACATTAACATATATATACAAAACATAATGCCTTGGAACCGACGACATGATTAGTTCCTAGGGCATACACTAACAAAGAGTTCGAAGAACGGTGGAACAAATTCATTGATGTGTATAACCTTCACAAGAATGAATGGTTATGTGGAATGTACAAAGAAAGAGTACGTTGGGTGCCTATATTTCTCAAAGATACTTTCTGGGCAGGTATGTCTACTATCCAACGTAGTGAAAGTATGCATGCATTTTTCGATGAATATATAAATTCCAAAACAACATTGAAACAATTTGTGGAACAATATGATAATGCATTGCGAGATAAAGTGGAAAAGTAAAGGGAAGCTCATTTTAGATCTTTCAAGTCTTGGATACCATGCATAACTAATTACCCTATTGAGAAATAATTTCAAAATGCATACACAACTGCAAAATTTAAAGAGTTTCAAGAAAAGATTATGAGGAAGAGTTATTGTGAATTATCTTTTTCGAAAAAGTCTGATTCGTATGAGGAGTATCAAGTTTTAGAAGATGTTTGGTTTGGAGATAGTAATCAGCGTGTTCCCTTTCTGGCATACTTTGAAGAAAGTTCATATGATATTCATTGTAATTGTCATTTGTTTGAGTTCAGATGGATTTTATGCATGCATGCCATTATTGTGTTGACTCATAAAAGGGTTTCACACGTTCCAGATAAGTACATTCTACGGCGTTGGAGGAAAAACATAAATAGATGTCATACAAAAATCAAGGTAAGTTATAATAGATGGAGCACCAACGTTGAAGGACAACGTTTTGAGAAGTTGTCTAATATAATGCTGATAGTAGCTGATATGGCATCAAATAATGAGGAAAACTGTAATATGTTGATGGAATTTATGATTGGCATGAGAAAAAAGTTGGAGCATAAGGAAAGTAAGGGAGAGCTTGGTAGTAAAGATGGGGACAGTCCTCCCAAAGAGGGGAATAGTCTAATTGTTAGTCCACATGCAGTTCATAGCAAAGGTCATCCTTCATGCAAAAGAAAGCAATTAAAGGTTGACGAGATTGTACGTAGGGCTAAAAATAGAAAATTATGAAAACAAAGAATTGGTATGAGTTATACACCTATTCTTACATGATATTTGTTTTTGAAACATTATTTACTTATTTGAAGTTTAATATTTACTTGATTATTAATATGTTATGCTACTTTATAGGGTAAGAATCATCAGTATAGCGAGACAACATTGCTGAAAGTGTACCAGGAACTCAAGTGTTGTCAAATGATATTGTTGCTACCCAGTTATGTGTTATGTATGTTGTATAATTGTGAAAACCTTAAGTTTTCTATAACGTGTGCTAAATTGTGGTTGTTAAACATTGATAGATGTCCACTGGTTCAGTTCAGAATCTTGCAGGAAAAAGTAATTTATTTATTGGACAGGAGGATGTAAATGATGAACATGTTTTGTTGGGAGAGATTTGATATCGTAAACCGGTTGAAGCATATAAAATTGTATTCAATAGAAATTATTCATGTTGTGGTTAACTTCGAATGAATGCAGTTGAGCTGCATGCTAATTCAATTGTTTTGTTTTTATTATTTTTGTCGCTGGTTGGGTAAGAGTATGCTATATGTTGTAGGGTTGTGAATTCATAATAATAAAGTAAATGTAACTTATTCTTATTCTGAATGTTTTCAGTATATATTATCGTCACATTTCATTATATATTATTCTAAATTTCATTTGAGATTTTAGTTTTGATATATTTTTTGGTATGTCTAGTATTACATATACATATGTATTGAGATATGTATTGCACAATAATTAATGATATGAAACCGTGGCAAATATAATCTTCGCACATAACGTTCATACTGACAATTAACATTCATATGATATTGGAGAAGTTCAGCTAATTGAGAACATCTTGTGAAATCACACTTTATTAATTAACATATTTATAAACAAAAGGAAAATATAATCTGCATACATAGAGTTTAGTATTTGAACTACACATAATGACAATTAACATTCATAGTGCGTTCCTAAGGATGTTCAGAAGGTGGAGGTCGTTGAGAAGTTCTTCATCATAGTGTAGGAGATGGAGGCTGACTGGAGGAGGAGGAGGTTGTTGACAATTTCTTCAACATGTTGGAAATTTCTGTCATGCGTTCTCCAATGATGTCAACCATTTCTTCTATTCTTGATGCGAACGAGTTGAAATCACTTTGCAATTGATCATGTTGTTCCTAAATTTCCTCTCAATACGTGAAAAACTCTCCTCTTGAAACCTTTCGATCCACTCAAATCTGCTTACTATTTCGTCTAAGGTATGAGAAGACATTTCTTGTACATTCTGAGAAAATCCATGTTCAATACTCGTTCATCTTCTTTTGCGCACATAGACTTATCCTTGATTTTCCCCTTCTAGAACAAGGACACTCTCCTAAACCGTTGCCTCTTTCTCCATTTCATCCCTAATCAGAAACCATTCTCTTGCCACATTCTTTTTAATCAAACCCATTTTACACAATGTGACATCCCCCAACAAATTTTTTGCAGAAAATGTAATCTTATTGGCTTCATCAGAAAGAGTGGTCTCTAAACCCAACTTCTCACATATTAACGTAATAAGCATCCCTTAATATATTTCTCCTTTTTTTGCTTTAATCCCTCACAACTTTTTAATCAATAACTTTGCTGAATTTACTTGCCTCCCTGTTATTGCTACTTCCATGAACAATAAATCATTGATTGTCACATTTCCATTTGTCTCTTTCCTGCCATTAAATGTGAAAGTCAAAAATCTATGAAAAATTCTGATGACAGGATTCTTTAACTTTGTAGATTTACACCTAAGTGGATGGTAAACCCCTACTCTAGAAACATCTGTCCAAGCTTGTTTGGAATCCCACGTTCTGGATACGTTATCCAAACCTTCAAAATCAAACCCTATTCAGATTGCTAAATCCTGTGGCCTCACTACACAATTCTGATTCTTTAATCTAAAAAACATTGTATATGCCAGAAAATCATCAATATCTATCTGCACAACTTCCAAACTACTAAAAAACTCATAAATCAAATGCTTATATCCATCATATCTATCACTCACCAATTGAGCCCGTTTCAGATTATGGATCCAACCATTAATCTCATCACCAAAACCCAACCTTGCTATAAATCCTAAATCTAAACTTCTTCCAAGACAAAAATATCTCTTTTCGCCATCTCTTTGTATTGCTTTTAATGTTGCACGTCTCGAAATTAGACTCCAGATGACGATGTGCCTCCATGAGGATTGGTTGTATTTTTTGCTCTTACCATTTTCTACTTTCTTCTAAAACCAGAAACTTCCTGGAAAAAACATATCCATAAGTAATTCTACAAATATTCCAAAAAAGAGAACTATAATGAAAAATCATGTTTAGTGCCATTCATGTCTAGATTGTAGCATTACTTATAAGAATATCATCACCTTGGAGGAGTTATGAATTATGTGAACTATAAAATGTTCAAAAAATGAACTTAGCATACATGCTGACCAATGCATTGCCAATAATCAAATTGTCATGTAGGCCCACACGAGTTACCAAAGCATGATCAATCTCGCCTTGAACAGCCAACTCAGGATCTAAACAAGCAACCAATGCACCTGTAAAAGTCACATAGTTGTATATTTTTTCCAGCTAATAATATTAATAATAATCGGTTATGGTTTTCTTGATATTTAGTCTCATCCATCTGTTTCTTCTTCCCTTGCCCATGTGATTTCAGTTCTCTGTCTCTCTAAATCCAGTGACCAATTTTCCATTTCTGTAACATTATCCTTTGTTTTTGCTTTTTTTCTTTTTTAATGGTTTTTGGTTTGGTTGTTTTTGACATGGACATATAGCTCAGAGACATTGACAGTGAAGCAAATCTAAGTCCTCTCTTTTATTTCTCTAGTCTTTTTCATATGCAACTGTAAGCTTCGAAAGCTAGACACGACACAACCCAAATCAGATTGAAGCATTGGGAAGCCAATCTTGAAGCACTTGGGTGTTTAAAACTTTTTACCTACTATTATTTTACACTTTAAGTTTTTAAATAAATGCCTCAAGCAGTAGCTTGTTTGTTCATGAAGAAATTCAACTCTTTGAATGATTCTCTGATGCATACTTGAAAATTCTTCAAAGTTCACCCCCACAAGCCACAATATTTTTCTTCCAATCGTCTTATAATTCTCGAAATAACTACCCACCATTATTCCTATCACTATTTTATGAAGATTTTTATTAAATGCTTCTCAGCTATACTCCATTTACATAATTAATGTAACCTAGCTGTTAGGTTGCATCAATTAAGACAAATTTATTGTAATACTCTCTCTGTTTCAATATAAATGACGTTTTAAGTTTCTACACAACTTTTAATGAAACAATTTCATTTCTCTCTAATTTGACTTTTTCCTCTGATTTTGTAGGTAGCAAAACAAAGTTTTTCCCACTGCACACATAAGTGAATTATTTAAATAATTTAATATAAGAGAGAGAAGAGATGTGAGCCCTAGAAAAAAGTGGAGAATGGAGATGTGGGTCATAGACAAGACAACGTCATTTAATTTGAAAAAAATTTGCACCCTCAAAATGACATTTATAAAAAAATAGAGGGAGTAATATTTTTAATTTTTTTTATAATTATTTGATTGGCCATGGAGAATTAAGACAACTCTAGTACATGTTTCTTGAACGTTTACTTGGTAATTTATTCAGTTAAAAATAAGATTATTGACTTTGTAACCTCCAACATGCAAGCTTTCTTTTGTACTTTTGAGATGAGACAAAGCTTTGGTTGCCAATTAATATAAACCAACATGGTTTATAACTCTATTTTGTCAAATTTCTGGCTTTGCGTGAGCTATTTAGACAATGATATCGGATGGGTTTTATGTTTTCTGCAAGTTTAGAGACTGAAAATACCACAAAAGTTGTGAAGTTTCTTCAAGTTTAAAGTTTATATTTGTTTGCTTCTTCAGATTTATAGGTCTACAATTTCAAGTGTTTGTGCTATGTCTTTCAATCCAGTTTATGATCATAGCAGCTGCAACTAACTCAGATGATGGTAAGTTCTTGCTTTGGTGACTTGTAACTGAAGGATCTTTAATGTATGTGATGTTTTATAGCTAAGTGTTGGTGAAAATCCAAGATTCAATGACTGTAAATGAATCATCGATTGAAGGATTTTGGTTATAACTTTTTGTTTAGAGTTGATGGTTATCTCTGCTTAATAAGTTGCTCTCCTTTCCCTAAAATCACACTCCTTAATATGCTAATTCCACTAACTGAATTATTCCCTCTCCTAGCACACTTACTCTTCAAACGACAATATCACCTAACCAACCTCCACTAACACATGCTCACATGCCACTCACACCTTCTGCCATTTTTTATCCTTATACCCCTTTTTATTGATGGAACTCCCTGCCAATTTCACACTCTAACCAGCAAGCAATAGGCTACAAAAATGCAGATAACACAACAAAAATTCTGGAAGAGTTTTGATGCAAATTCACATTTTTGCACAACCAATAACCAAATTCACATCACTACAAATATCATTATTGCACAACCAATTAACATTATTGCACAACCAATTAAATATGTCTCATTCATCAATACAAATAGCATTATTGCACAACCAATTAACATATATCCTTCGGAGAGTTTTGATGCAAATTATTAGGGCTTCTACCAAGCAAAACCCAACCAAATAATAACCCAACCAATTATTAGAGTTTTGAACTTTCTTCAATAGGATAAGAAACAAAGAAATGAAGTACAAAACAAAAAATACTCATAGGTGGTTTAACTGTGTAGTCTAGCTGGAGTCCAGACGATGAAGACGAAGAACTGAATAACGACGGTAGATAATGTGGCTTCAACGGCGGCAGATGCAATGTTTCTGTAACTCTGCGTTTTTTGAATTAGTTTTGGAACCCAACAATCCCTAAACCAGTGAATTTTTATTTTAAATTTATGTTTTTAAAATTTTTAACACTATAGGGATGTCAGTCCATTAATAGGGACGTTCGTCCACACTAGATGGACTGGCATCCATCTAGTGTGCTTATTTAAACAGTCATCTATATAATTTGGACAGTCGTTTATAGTAAAGGGATGCCCGTCCTTAGTATTTGGAAGAGAGTCCATTGATTTTTAATTTATTTTTAAATATTTTTTCTTGACCGTCGTCCATTCCTAAATGAATGGCCGTCCAAAAATGTTGGACAACCATCCATTCACGGAAGTCTTGTATTGTGTCCTATGACGTCCGAGTCTGGTGCCACGTATATCAGTGCAAAATTTCAGTACCAAATTTTGTTTTACATAGCACTTTTGTATAAGTTAATAAATGTTATGAAATTATATTTTTATAGTTTATTATAACATCTAAAACTTAATGATAAATTAAATTAAAGTTAACGGGGTTGATTATTTGA